TCAGTGACATGCCCAGCACTGCCCAGGGACTCGGTGGCAGAGGCCAGGATAGAATCCAGCTCTCCAGGGCAGCTTTCTTCTGCCTTCACCACGAGACCCTAGCTTCATTCACGGCAGCCCTGCTGGCTCAAGAGCCAGTGACCTAACAGACAGCCCCGTTCACTGCGTCGTGGCCCCCAGGAACAGGCCGTCCGGCGCACGGAATGAGCCAGGGCCCCTGGGGGGGGGGGGGGCTGCAGGGGCCTCTGGCCAATATCTCACCAATATACACATTAATACTGTGTGTGTGTGTACACACTACACAGGCACTCCAGTACGCCCGGAGTAGGAATCCGACTGCACATACATTTGTGTGTGGATATACGCAACTATTGACACCTCTACAGGGGAACACTGCACACCCGACACAGAACCCGATTGTAGAAATAGAAACTACATGCACAAGTGTCCCTCAGTGTGTATCTGCCGATCACAAGAGTGGTGCTGCACTGTGTGTGTGGATACACGGACACACTCACTCCCGTAGCTATGATACAGCAGCACTCTGGTAGGTATGCGATGGTCCATATTCGCACATGTGCACAACAGCAGAGCTGTAGAATTATTCATGAGTGTGAATATCACATATTGTACACCCCCCCCCAGCCACAGGCTGTGTCTGTGCACACCCAAGAGTGACGTTGCTGCAGGCGAGTGGGAACTCTACACACAGACACGGACAGCAGCAGCACTGTGGAGTCGGTTGGTGTGTAATTGCACAGCACCATGTGTGCGTGTTTGTGCCTGCATATGTTTCTGTGTGTTTGTGCATGTGTGCATGTTTGTGCCTGCATGTGTTTGTGCCTGTGTGTGTGCATGTATGTGCATGTTTGTGTGTGTGTCTGTTTGTGCATGTGTGTCTGTTTCTGCATGTTTGTGCGTGTTTGTGCGTGTGTCTGTGTTTGTGTGTGTCTGTTTGTGCGTGTTGTGTGTTTGTGTGTTTGTGCGTATTCTGTTACTACAGCTCCTTGAGTTTAGATTTCAAGGCCCGAAGGAACCGTTGTGGTCTGTCTGTCCTCCTGCCCCAACGTAATCCCCAGAGCAGACCTAGAAAACCAGCCAGGCTGGAGAACCCCCTGGAGCCTTGGGCGCTGTGAGATCTGGGTTCTGTTTTCTCTCCGACATGACGAGAGACTCACTCGTTTCGTCCCAGAGGAGAGGAGCAAACGCTGTTTGTGCAGTTCCACTACCCAGGAGCGAGATCGGTGACACCGGCTGTCTCTGGGCATCCATCAGCGAGACTGGCCTTTCTGATCCCTGGGACGGACTGAACTCACTGCCCCTTTCCAAGAGCCGCTTGTTTGCCCCCCCGGATCTCACTTTTCCAAAACCGACAAGAAAACAGCAGCTGCTTTGGGTGCAAACGCCACATCTGGGGATTTTCCTGGAAGGGCCACAGCAGGCCGGGGCCAAACCAGTTCACAGGAGTTTGTAACTCACACTGCAAGTTCCCTGCTGCATCTTGGATCGCACCCAGTATAACAGCTCCTGTGTGTGTGTGGCACTGTGTGTGTGTGTGTGTGTGTGTCACTGTGTCGCTCTGTGTGTGTGTCTGTGTGTGTGTGTGTGTCGCTCTGTGTGTGTGTCTGTGTGTCACTCTGTGTGTGTGTGTCGCTGTGTGTGTGTGTGTCGCTGTGACGCTGTGTGTGTGTGGGGGGGCACTGTGTCGCTGTGTGTGTGAGTGTTGCTGTGTGTGTGTGTCGCTCTGTGTGTGTGTGTGTGTCACTCTGTGACAGTCACTCCAAAGTCTCCTTCTCTGGAGGTTTTTAAGGCCCGGCTTGACAAAGCCCTGGCTGGGATGATTTAGTTGGGGTTGGTCCTGCTTTGAGCAGGGGGTTGGACTAGATAGAATCATAGAATATCAGGGTTGGAAGAGACCTCAGGAGATCATCTAGTCCAACCCCCTGCTCAAAGCAGGACCA